CCTTCCCCCCCCCCCCCACAAAGAGGGTCCACGAAAAGAGCGATAGCAAAGAGAGTTCCTCTGGATCACAGTATCCCGGAGGAAGTGGAACAACAAGCCAACAAAGGTAGCAAATTACCCCGTCATGACTTGGACAGATACCAAGCCACCATCTGCCCACAGGCCCACTTTGAAGTCTCAAAACTCTCGAGCTACCTCATCGGGGAACTACAAATAAGAATAGGCGAGACCGTTCTTGAAGATCACCTCGCCTACTGCGGCAACAGAATGACGAACACGATTTTCGCCACTGTTTACGACAAACGACACTTCGCAAGTTTGCTTCAGCTCACGCACCTTGAGACAGGCAGCGACAAGGTCAATGCCCAAGTCTACCGAACGGCCACAAGAGAATTTCCACGCGGGATTGTTTATCTGACACCTGACATTCCAGCAGCGAAGCTTCTCGAGGGGATTTGAATTTTACCTACAAATCGCATTTGTGGCAGTGCCTAGCTTTAGTTTCAAAACAACTTTAAATTTATTTTACCGCTGGGCCACCACTCTCGATCACCACGCATAGGTGCCACGTTCGAGCGTCGCAGACTTGATTCTTTTTCTTCGGGTGACTGCAAACAACTCGGCTAATAATTACTCGTGAGAACCTGCCTTCTGTAGTTATCAAAAAGGCCTCATAGCCATCCAACAGCCTGTAAAACTCAACACTTTGCCCACACCTCATTTGGAACCAGAATAAAATGGAAACATTTTTAACCCATTCGCTACCAAAGCCGGCGAATCGCCGGGCGTGCCATTAGGGGCCATATTGCAAAGGCCGGCGATTCGCCGGTCTGCATGAATTTGTTTTAAAGAGGCATTCATAGACGGCGCGCTCTGTAGACTTGGGGTAGTGTAGTTAGATACATTGCCAGCAGATGGCGAGGGTCGTTCCGTTCAGTGTGTTTGTTTGAGCTTGTTCTTTTGTGTGGCGCGCAATACGCGTGTGTCTATTTCTGTTTCGATCTCGTCCGCGTTGTGACAGAATCAAATTTTTTTACTACCTTTGCTCGTCATTGGCTGCACTCCGCTCTGAATATTATTCGCCGCGTGACGGAAGCCACTGGCATCTACCTTCGAAAAAAGCTGCAGTGGCGCGAGTGTTCGTGAATAACGCCACTTCACGAATTTAGGGTCTTGTGACTGCGAACTCTATAGAAAAAAACTGTGAGTGCGCAGGCCAGCTGGTGGATGTTGATCATGATGTAGAAAACCCAAGACTGTGGTAAAAGCAGAGAAACTTGGTCAAAGAAGAAGGACAGAGGAAAAGGAAGAGACATTCTTTTCCCCTGTCCTTCTTCTTCGACAAAGTCTCCCCGCTTTTACCACAGTCTCGGGTTTTCTACCTCATGAACTCTATAGAGTGGCATGTAACTTGTTAAATGGAGCACACGTAGCAGCCACTGATAATTTCTGAACTTATTAGGCCCACTTCGAGGATGCCAGCTTTGAGCAGAGCCGGAAGGACAACTGGCGAAAACTCACAAGGAATGCCATCCCGACATTGTTTGCCTTTCGTCGTAAGTGTTGAAAGACCAATAGGCAGCTTTAGTAAAATTCCTCAACCGTGGATGTACTGTTTTGCACAAATTAACTACAACTATTTTGGCCTTTTGGTCTGTTTTGTGTCCATCAGTAAAAAAGGCACTCACCTAATTATTTGACGCCGAATATTGTCTGTGCGTTGTTTTACAAGTGGCTTATACTGAATACATGATCAGGTTCATGTCCTCGTTGCCACACTTAGGATCTGACAAAGGGTGGTCACAACTAGGCACACATACTAGATAGAATGTCGAGCTCAGTCCAAAGCGGGAGGCGGGAGTGCTCTATTTCTCTCTTTTACGAACTGCACATACGAGGTATGTTCGAAAGGTATCCGACTATTTGTTTTCTCAAAACCAGTTGGGGCCAAGGGGGAGTGACTAAACACTATGCATTGGTGGAACCTCCTGCGCAAACGCTAAATTTTCCGGCCTCCCAGAATTGAGCATTCGCTGCCTGGACACTGGTTTGGGTGGTAGTTTGACTTATGATTGCCATATTTATCTATATTTCTTGTGCTCTGGCAGACCTAGTTGGGCAACGCTATGGCTTCATAGTTTGTCCGAAGTTTGATAATACCTCCGATGAAACCATTCGAAAGGTTCAGCAGGCATTCGACGAAGATGCTCCGTGGGTTCCGCAAATTAAATATTGTCGCAAATAAAAATATAAAGCGGATTAATAAAACTTGAAATGAAAGTTTAATACGGCGAACTTGTGCCGGGAAACAAAAAAAAAAGCAAAAAAAACACCGTACATGATTTGACGGCGCTGGAACGGCGACTGCCTTCAAGCAGCCATGTGAAGCTCCTTTCGTAAGCGCGTGGGTATCTAGAACATTCCGTCTAGAAAGTCTGCCCATCGAAGTTTCCAAGCTCGGACAAATAATAAGATCCTCGATCTATTTGGAACATTCCAGTCATGCATAGAAAAGAAAGATAAAAAGGACTAACACTGGCAGGAATCGAGCCCTGGCCAGCAGTGTGCAAGTTGAGCGCGCTGCCGACTTAGCTATTCGCACGCGGTAATATTTGTTGAACCGTTCTAAAACTGGCCGAACTTGAGTTGGAAGTTAGGACTATAATTGGTGGTTCGAGAAATTGTAGTGACATTGGGATTCTGAATAACTATGCATATGCGATTTAAATAGATGGTTTGAACATGGGCACAGTGGTCTTGAAACTTCTGTCCAAGCTGCTCTCGTGCAAACACAAAAACCTCTGCTCTGACTTTGCGCAGCACCCAGCTACTTCCCTATTGTAGACAAAATATACTTTGTTCACCCTTAAGCTGACGGTGCGGTAAAAGCTGCATGCTCGTTGGACCAGTTAACTGTCGGCCTTGCACCACGTGGTCACCCCCCTTTCCGCATACTCACGCTCAGAGAGTGAGACGACGCGATAAGAGGCAGGCCATTGATCGGTCTAGCGGAAAGGTATACCTTCCAGCGCTTGTCAGCTTAGGGGTGAACGGAGTATAGAAGGGGTGTGCACACTGTAATGTTCTGAAGCCAGTGTCATAGTAGTTTGAAGCTGTCCAGCACGTTTTATGACATCCTTTTTGTGGCAGCCTTGGTTTCCTTCATTATTGCCTTGCTGTTTGTTGCTGTACCTCCGCTTGCTTTGGCTTTCCTTTTGACTAGCTTTGGCCATACCCTGCTTTGCTTCGGCTTTACCTTGCTGCACATTGCCTTGCTTTAGTTCTTTTATTACACCTTGCCTCGACTTCTCCTTGCTATGCTCTTGTGTCTGGCATCGCTGCCATTCGGTTGAGGCCAGGTGATGGTGGGCCACTATAGCGAGGGTGTGCCGATGTGTCCTTCATGAGAACAGCGGCCAGAACATCTCATTTCTGATGCCATGCTAGATAGAATGTCGGGCCCTGTGCAAGTAGCAAGGCTTTTAGTTCACTTTTACAAACTGCGACTACAGCGCTAGTGAGGGAGCCTGCATTGCACACCGTGTGCACCTTTGGTGCATGTTAAAGGGTCCCCAAGTGGGATCCTTTCCAGCTGTAAGGCAAATTTCAAGGTTTCACCAAATGTTCCTATCTGATGTTGTGTGCACTTCATTAAATAGACATAAGCTTCGACGTGTGTTCTCACAAATGCCCACCACTGCCTATACTTACAGTAGTTAGACGGGATATGTCTTTATGCTTAAAGTGGAGGCATGTAGTCCTAATACAGCAGATTATAACATGTGCCCTTCATTTTGAGTTCAATGCTTCTGCCTCATAGTAATTTCTTTTTGCAGCTGTGCCGAAACAATGCAAGCCACCAAGGCGCCTGCCCTCAGCAGCGGTATCCACCAGTGCACTGGCATCTCGACCACCAACTGAAAACAGTGGTACAAGCTGCCATGTAGATGCACCGGGAACCTTGTGCCTTGATACCGGGGTGCCTGACAGTGCAGCACTCCGTCAGCCAGGGCGTCAACTTCCCAACAATATTGAGAACAGTGTGTCGCAGTCACCACCACAAGCTGCGAGCATGGACATGTGTTGCAGCTCTGTCATGACCAGCGCAGTGCACTTAGCAGAGGTGCCTTCTTCCACTGTGGAAACTGGCATAAGTGCCTGCTTACCAAGGTGTGTTATTTGTAGCAGTGATGGCAGGTGATGACATAAATCCAGTGCCCCAGCATGCTGCCACAAGCCCACTCAGCCATTTTGTGCCGCTCCAAACACACAGTGCGGACATCCGCAGCGAGCTCAGCAAGGATGTGACAGCACCTTTCCAGGCCTGTATGGAAAATCCCAGCCTACTTAGGTGCGTCGTGATTAGCAGCAGTACTGACAGTGATAATGAGTGTTTGCCTCATTCACTCGCGCCCACAACAACGTCAAGCCAACCTTTCTCGAGGAGGCCCAAAGGGAATACTTTCACGGATGAGCTACCTCCATCAGGCTTAGTGACAAGAACCTCTGAATATGAACTGGACATTCCTGGCATGAATACAAGCACCAACAACATTGGCTCAAGACAGCCATCTAAGCTGGATGTACCAGAGTGTGACGACCTGGTTTTGCAACCTGAGTTGCCACCAGAGGCTGCGCTGCAGTCTTACGAGTCTTCGACTCCCAGTCCAGTTCTCTTCACCCTCTTTGGGAATGGCACAACTGAAACAGCGGAAGCTACACATTTCCGCACTAATGAGCTTAAAGGGGTCGGGAAACGTTTTAGAAAATTCTGCGCTATGTGCAATATTTTGATTGCCGGTCCTTTATTAGGTAACCCACGCGCATCCGTTTTATCATCCGGATTAATTTATTAGCGTAAAATGACAATTTCGGTTTCCCGGGCAGCTTGCCTCTCTCTTCTACGGCTACGTCACATTAACACAGCCAATCGAAAAGTTTTGCTTTCTGTCGTCAAGCGTAGAAGTCAAAGGCGAACAGATACGTTCCTAAGATGCAAGATGCCCGATCGGCTGGCCCTCTTTGAGCTTCAGCGCCGATTAATCGAGCGAAGCAGACTTCTCAGCTTTGTGCCTTATGCGGACACCCCCTTCCAAGGACTACGAGACCGCTCATCATCCGACGGCGACACGGACAGCGAGGACGGGGCGAGCTCTGAGCAGCAAGGTGCGTGCGGCTCGACGAGAGCTCGTTCGAGCCCTGATCATCAACCTCCTGAACCGGGTCGACTTGGATGTACAAACTGGTATGTATTCGTGTTCTACACGCCGTAAATCAACTCGCAAGTGAGCGCAGTCGCTGGCCCAAACATTCGAATAGGTGCATCTGCGGCCGGTGCGAGGCGATGCCGACCATCATGGAGAGCGTCTGCTGCCGCGAAATTCCGGCAGCGACCGAGAAGCAACAGTCGGGCTGCGTTACCAGGAATGTTCGCTTCCACACGCTGTGCATGGAGGAAGTGGTGCTCGACATCATCTTCCATACGCTCCAGGACCACGGCGTACGCGTCGAGAGCACAAGGTAGTGTCACATACAGGCTACATGCCTATATGTACTAGAGGCGCCTGCGCTTACGGGTGCAAATATATTTCTACCTGTACTTCGTCTCACAGTAGCATGGACTAACTGCGAAGGCTGTGCATGGACCTCGCGCTGTACAATCGCTCATGCAGCCGCCGAGCCGTGATGCACAAAGCAACAACCTCGCACGCATAAGTAATAGACCCTGCAAGGTGACACGAAGTATCAATAACATTGTGCTTGTTACCCAGTACGTTTAGCTTTATTTTCGTTTACAGCGTCGGCATGCTGAGAGCACATGCGAGTGTTGATAAGCTGTACCTCCAGACTTACAACTGGTATGTCCAAGTGTCTGCTTATAGATATAAAAAAACAATGACAAAGAAAGGAAGCAGTCCATACTAGAGCACTGCACGGGCCGGAATTTCTAGGCCCGGCCCGACCCGGCCCGGTAGAGACACGGCCCGGGCCCGGCCCGAGCCCGACAGAATTTTTAATTTCTAGCCCCGGCCCGACCCGGCCCGGAAGAGACACGGCCCGGGCCCGGCCCGAGCCCGACAGAATTTTTAATTTATAGGCCCCGCCCGACACGGCCCGGTGGCTGTAGCCCGAAACAACCCATTCCCGTTTGAACCCGTCCCATTTCGAACCGTTCCCGAAACGAGCTTCCCATTTGAATCCGTCCTGTTTCGACCCATTCTTTAAACGCCCTTCCCATATGAACCCGACCCATTTCGACCAGTTTCCTAAACGCCCTTCTCGTTTGAATTTGTCCTGTTTCGACCCATTCCCTAAACGCCCTTCTTATCTGAACCAGTTTCCGAAACACCCTTTGCGTTTGAACGCGTCCCGTTTCAACCTACTTTTATAAGGCCCTGCACATCGCAACCTCTTCGCAAAAAGTGTCCATCGTTCTAAGCCTTGTCTGCGCACCTTTTCTGTTTAAGAATATGTTCTGAAGTAGCTTTACATGTCAACGCATTCCTAAAATATACAACCCTTTCAGGCAAGCTTAAATTTAATATATTCCTACTTAACCCCTTAAAACGTTTTTTTTCAAGATGGTTCCCAAAACGTGCAAGCGCGGAACGGGCTATGCACTGCGCGAAACTGATACCGCGAATACGACGTTGGCTCTTTTTTCGAATTTTGCTTCGAAATGGTGTCAGTAGGCACCAAAGTATACTGCTTAGGTCTGTGGCCCAGATGAGCACTTCTAAAGACACTAATAGTTTTGAAAACAGCGTTTTGATTCTATGAGATAAACATAAAAACACGACGATCGCTTGTTCGCGCTAATATAGTGTCGCGCTCTGCAATAAGGGAGTCTTTGAATAACATACTCAAGCACTTTGGGCAAGCTAAAATTAGCATCGCCATAGGTTTTACATCGCAACGCTATTTTTACGGTACCCAAAGCGCTTGCGTACGTTTTTCTAAATCTTCCTAATAGTGAACTAGATATCTTTGAGAGCGATGAATCAGACAGGTTGAGAAGCATATGTCTGGGACTTTATTTTGTTTACAATTTGTAGCACTGAACCCTCGCTCACACGGAAAAAGCTTGAAGGCTTTCTAGCTTCAAGACGTCTTTTAGTTATTATTTTTAACGACGCTGTAGTGAATTTGCACTTGGCTATTTTGTATTCAATGATCCTCAAAGATTAATGAGCAAACTTCTTGCTACCAACAACAATTTATGACTTACGGCACAAGATTGCCCAGGCACGGCCCGGGCCGGCCCGGGCCGGCGCGGCCCGAGAACTTTTTTGTTCAAGCCCGAGCCCGGCCCGGGCCCGAGAAAATACGTGCTACCCGGCCCGAGCCCGGCCCGCCGGCCGGGCCGGGCTCGGGCTTTCGGGCTGGCCCGGGCCCGTGCAGTGCTCTAGTCCATACACATCTGTTTTATTACTGTGCATCTGGTAACACTTGTATCACTTTAAAAACAGACACTTTGCCTCAGTATAAATTTGCATGGAATTGACCTCGACAAATACTGTATGCCAAAATTAGGACAAGAAAATAAGCAAGTTGTAAATTCAGGCAGAAAACGGAGCACTGCACAGAATGGAATCACAATAGTAAAGAAAGAAGCTAAATTCACACCGACGACTCACTGGATGACTCATTTTCCATAGCATAAAATATGTAGCATGGAAAGAAGTCGATGAAGCGGAAGAAACAGGGGGAGAGCGCATGAGCCACCACACAAGCGGCAGATGCTACGGTCGACGAAAGGGGCAGTTCGGGGCTCAGACCGAATAAGTCCTTAGATTGGTGGCAGCGGTGCGATGGCAACTGCTGCACAGGTGGGATGGCGACAGCACTACAGGTCAGTGCCTGATAATTTTTCTGGAGATGAGGACTATGATGCCTGGGAATGCCATTTCAATGTCTGTGCTGCGAAAACAATTGGCATGACGCCAAGAAGCTGCTGTTCCTACCGACTTTACTGCACGGACGAGCTTTCCTGGTTTGCCAGCATCTGGATTTGCAAGATTGCGCATCCTTCGCCTGTCTATTCGCTGCCATGTCGAAGTGCTTTGGATCTCCTGCTCAACGAGAAGTCAAGTCGCTGCCACGCAATTTTTAACGTGGAAACACCGTTTTGGGGAACCATATGACGTGCTTGCCTACGAACCTGATGGACTTGTTTTCCAAGGCATACCCAGCAATGCCTTACGAAGATCTTGAAGCTCTTGTGCAGGATCAGTTCAGTGCGGGACTCGGCGATGACCTCCGGTGCCGGGCACTCATTGCTGTTACAACACCTCTGGCAGCTGCAGTAACCGCTGCAAACTGCATCAACTGTCTCGGCAAAGCATCAGTAGACACGTCGTTTACTACTACTGCGGTTGAGGACACGGCATGCCACAAAAGCGGACATAGCATCCCTCACTTCTTCCATGGCTGCTCTCGCGGACAAGATCGAGAACCTTTCCCGAGGGGGCAAACAACCAAACACAAGGGCCCTAATCTGGACACTTGGCGAAAAGGTCGGCGAGAAATCTGGCGGCTGTGGTTGGCCGACGCCACACTTGACGTTGTCGTTGGCCGATCATAGCCGCCAGATTTCTCGCCGTCTCTCTCGCCCAATGTCCCCCAGGGCCGGTTTTCTAGAAACAGCGTCTCAGCTGTGACTGGGGCAAAGAAAGCACCGCCAAAGCCACCGCACGAGCTGAGCGGGACTTACACCATGTCTCAAGACGCTTGCGTGCCCCAGCCTTTGCAGTGCTTTCTTTCACCCAGCCTCAGCTGAGCCGCTGTTCTAGCAATCCGGCCCAGGTCTCACGTCAGCAACGCTGCTTCCGTTGTGGCAGAGCAGGACATTTGCATGCAGCTGTAATGCCAGGATAGAGAACAAGAAAGAAGGAAACAACTGTAACCAACATTGGAACCAATGGCATTCGGAAAACTGATCGATGCCTCAACTTGGAGCCCTGCGCAGGCACCCAACCAACACGGGGCTGAACAAAAACTACAGAGCTTGTCATGGTACTAGAGACGATCACAGGTGTTTTACTAGACTACTTCGTTGATTCGGGGTCGTCAGTGGCTATCATTGCCTTTAATGCATGGACGCTATTACTGGATGCAAAGCCCGCAATCGTACCCGAACGGCGCAATGTACACGCCTTGAATTGTGTGACTTTGAACGAGGAAGGCATTTGCTACCCATAAACCGAGGTTGCAGGCATCGGGACTGCACATCCAGTGTTAGTCATTCGCGGTATAGCCCAGGAGTGCATCCTTGGCACTGCCTTCCTCACTAGTAGGGGTTCTGTCTTAACATTTGGGATTTCTCGTTGTAAGCAAAGAAACCATGTGCAGAAACTACCAGTGCAAAAATGGAGCCACTGAGAATTTTTACTCCAGTAAGGCTTTCTCCTCACAGTGTAGTTTTTGTCGATGGCCAAGTTTAACTATGAGGGAGCGGCCTTTGATGATGTCTTCGAACCTCGTCCAGACCTCCTTTAGCGAAAAGGAGCGACATCACTCTAGAGCATGTTGTGGTTCGGAGCACCATTCCAGTTTGCGTTCTGAACGACACGAAACAAGAGGTCCGATTATACCAGGGAACAAGGGCTCATTGATCATATTAGTAATGCCAATGACGACTTCTTGTTGCAAAGACTCCTCCAAAAATGCCAGCAGCACACAAGAATCCGCATGCATGACACTTCACCAAAACAAATGGAACAAAGAACATCTGCTCCGTACTATTCTTTTTAAAACACAAATACCTAGCCAAGATCTCCTGCACCTAGGAAACCTCTTATTTTCCCTCAAGGACATCATTTCCCAGGGAGACTTTGATATTGGCCGCACAGAAGTTCTCGAACACCGTATCGAAATTTGCACGTCGCAGCCCCTGAAAGAATCTCCTCGACGGCTTTTGCCGCATCTTACCAGCTGCAACACAGCATAACGCCGATGCAGAGCACCATCAGAAAGCAGTACAACGATCGGAACGTTCATTAGCAAGATTTTAAAGTTGGCGACAAAGTGTTACTTCACTGCCCAGCGGTGAAACGGGGCAAATTGTCAAAATTCCACTTGCCATGACAGGGGCCCTGTTGTCAAGAAAGCTTCAGGAACACATTTCGGATTGAGCTTGAAGCCTCTAGACACAAGCAGGTCGTTGTGCATCGTAACAGACTGAAACCTTACCGGCAACTCCAATCATCTGGGTGCCATAGACAGCGGCCTGCCTGCAGGCGCAAGTGCTACAGAAGGTTCCTGGGACATTCTTTTTATCTCCGAACAGGAGTGGCAACCACATGGAAACAGATGATTGTCCACCTGAGTTATTTGAATTCAAGGAAGAAACGCAGGGCGCTAGCATTACTTTTCAAAAGAGTGAACAACCCCCTACGGCAAGCAATGACCCTCCACCTGACTTGCTTCGGTCATGTCAAGAAACGATGCAGCCTTCTAACGAAGTTGAAGCGATCTACATTGACAAGCAGTTCAACAAAATCACGATGGAAGACATACAGGAACATCACTCATCTGAAATACTAAGTGACCCAGATGCCGAACCTGACCGAATAATCAAGACGTTAGACCCCGAGCATCATCGCCAATGAGAAACGGGAGCCAAGAAGAACCTATCAATACACAACAGGCGCCACCTGTGCCAACTGAGACGTCGAGCACTGGCTTTAGTATGAACCTGCGGAACCGTACAAGTCTCTCTCTGCCGGCACGCTTTCGAGACTTTATCCTCACATTAGTTCACAGGTTGTGAACCTTTTCAACGGAAAGAATACAATGAAGTGGAAGAAACAAAACAAAACAAGACAAGTGGCTGGGGCTACAGTCGACAAAAAGGGCAATTCAGGGTTCAGAACGATTCTTATTAAACCGTTACAAAATGTAAAAAAAGGATTTGTGCTACACGTAGCATGTGAGCTGTGTCTTTGGCACCGTGCAAGTGTAGCACCCGTACCTGGTGATGCAAACGAGTTTGTATACAGTGTGCAGTTTTGAATATTGGTATCTGTTGCCTCAACAGTCTAACAACATTAAGTTGGCCATCTTGTAAGCAAGTTGGACGTTTTGATTTTCAATTAACAGTGCTGAATGAAATTGGGATGATATGAAGCAACTTTCTCCATGTCAACAGACGGTACCGGTACATCAGCTATAGCCAACTTGCGCACTGGCTTTGGGGACGCCTGGGCAGGAATCACAGGACGGTCCTCCCAGCCTGTGCTGTACACAAGATAAGGGAGAGATTTCCGTCAGAGGATTACACTGGCTTTCAGTATGCAAACAGAAACTAAAATCTCTGCCAAAGTTATTATGCTGTTCACATTGTGTTAATTAAAAAGGGGAAGGGGGGGGGTGCACCAGAGTTAAAGGGTGATGTCTAAAATCCATAAAAGATAGCCTTTTCAATTTTGTCATTGCGAAAACACCAAATTTTTAGTATCATCGAGGTAGTCCACGGGTCAAATATTACTATATAATTTCATTTAAATGTTTAATGTACTAGTCATAAGTTTGAGATGCGTCAAGTCACAGAGATGGACCAACTCAAGTCGGAGGCAGACTGTACAACCAACATGGCAGTTAGTACCGCTTGTTCACCTTAGCTAACACTGTTATTGCAGTATAAACGCATTACAACAGACATTCAAACATAACATAGCGGGCGGCCACCAAAAATTAAAAATTTTGTAACGCTTCACTGTATTCACTGGCCTCAGGATTCCACGGAACTACAACGGAGTGGTTTTGGGTGTAGTTTATTGGCTTTGCAGGATTCGGTGCGCCAAGGAACTGCTGGCGTTGTCACGAAGCTCTCTAGAAAATGCAAGTCTCGAAAATCAAAAGATCAGTTCATTAGTGTAGAGTGCGAGCAGAATGAACGCAATAATAGTATCAACAAATTGATCTCTCGATGACATTTACAGCATTCATGTCTCAAATTGCCACATCTTAAACTGGAAAAACCGCGAGTTAATTTTTCTGTTTATTTTTCAACATCACGCATCGTTGCAACGATTCACATACTTCGCGGCTACTCTGCTTCAACTTAAAATGAACCGCAGCACATGGTACAGGCTCTCTTGGCCTATCAGGTGCCAAAAAGTTGCGATGCTGCGCGGGAGATGCGCCAAGCACTGGAATGGCTCCGCAGGCGTTTGCAAAGTCTCAATGACAAAGCAGCCTCTACACCAGTGAGCTAACGGTGCTCGGAATTCCAACGCTCACTTTACAGCAGAGCGAGCGCAGTCGACCAGATCGAGGCGCAGTCGGTTCTCATGCCGCGATTGCTATGCCGTTGCTCTGTCTTGCACCGACATTCGAAACAACTCACTCGAGGCTGCATGCGGGCCAAATATACGAGTCTATAGCACGATATAGTGTTGTTACAACGTGTAAAAAGTAGTCCTCCCCTCGACAGGGGCACAAGCAGCGGCGCTATGTCCGTCGACGCACACGTCAAGAACGACGAAATATACATTAAAAACACTTTTTAACACCCGAAACAAATGTTTAATTACTTAATCGTGAATTTTCCGCCACCTTAGGGACGTCCTATTACTCCACTGTTCTGCAAATTCCTCAAATATGCAGACACTATTGCTGATATATTTCTTTTTTTATTATTCTGCGATATGATAAGTCGTTAGCACTTTTGAGCCCAGAACTCCTCCATGTGTTGTCATCGTATTGTTGAAATCACTTTTTTTTTTTTTAACTCTAGCTTAGGGGATTAAAAGGTTAAAAGGCGCGAACAAACAGGACGAAAAAAGAGACACGTACGACACGGACAGGCGCCGTGTCGTACGTGTCTCTTTTTTCGTCCTGTTTGTTCACGCCTTTTAACCTTTGAATCGATATGAACCAACTAGCCCCAACCAAAGTTTTATTGCATCAGCTTTGGGGATCTTTGCATCTGTGTTGCATTTATGATTACATGGTTTAAGAAATGGTACAGTTTTTGTTACATGTACACAACCCTCGCAAAACAAAAAATCTATTACCGTGCTGCAAAATATACGGCACAGGTTATTTGTGAGTAATATTTTTTCTTTGTAATTTCAGTTTATTTGGGGACATTGTGTGCAGAAAGAGGACACTGTTATTTTTGCATTGTAGTTTAGAGTGTGGGTTTTACGGCGTAAAACATAGCATCTTCATACCTCCCGTTTTTGGTTAACACTTGGGAAGGGCAGTTCCTTCGGGACTCCAAAAACTATCTCGGCAAGAACTGTTCTTGGCAATGCAGGGGGAGAGCCCGCGCACAGCTATATTCAGCGCTCAAAATGGGAGAGGGATTGCGGGCCTGTACCTTCCACTGCATTGCCAAGAAAAGTTGTCCCCGAGTAGCCTTCGTGCTGCTGTCCTGTTCACTCGGTATTAACAGCAGAGTAGACACTATGCGTATTTTAGGCCAAGCGTGTCTCCGGTTAAGCGCCATACGCACATTCGCGTTTGAACGCGTTTGAGTGCGTTGCGGAGTCCTTGCAGCCAGGCGCAGTCGCTTGCGGACCGACGCGCGCCTCCCCGCAACGCTCGATAGCGCGACGCAAGCGAGTAGAGACTCGTTCAACTTTCCGAAGCGTTGCGGTGCGTTCGGGCGCGTTCGACCAATCAGAAGCCGAAAGAGGAGAGGGGTGACGTGTTCGCTCGCCCCACCCGGTTGACTCGGCGAGACGTATCCGGTTCGCCGGTCGCAGTGCTTGCATTCTTGTTTTGGGGAGCGGTGGAGACTGTATTTTCCAAGGCTGCGATGGTTCAAGCTTTACAAAACGTCGGGGAAGGCGGCGAGATTGTTCCAAGATCGAACGCTTCGACGCTGTCGCCGTGCGCCGCCATGTTGCCTTGGATTTCGCTTACTATTGGTGAGCCACTAGCGACGATAGCGCGTTCTTATTGGCTCTTGACTGCGGTTGACTGCGTGTCAACGTAACTGTGCGTACAAGTTTGGCGCAAGCGGTCTTCGCAACGCAACGCGTCCGCTTGCCGCTACGGAACGCACCGCGCTCAAACGCGAATGTGCGTATGGGCCTTTACGGTCAAGTGACTATAGTCTCCAAGCGGGTCATAAGGCAGAGAACGGCATCTGCCTGAAGGACACTGCTTGGTAGACCACTCACATAGCATCCACTGCACTATGAACTTTGGGACGAACTCACAAAAGTATCCAATGACAAATCCTTTCGCTCTGTTCATTGTTCGGATGACCCTCGAAGATAAGCCTTTTGTGGGCGCACCCGCCTGGGGACCTTGAAGAAGCAGGATGCAGGCGAAATGCTGGAGGGAGGGGAATGCTTCCTCCCCTCCTCTCCAGCAACCCATCTGCTTCCCCCTACCAGCATTCCTGTCCCTGGAGCTGCGGCCCGTGTAGCTCAGTGTTTGAGAAGTCCTACGCGCATATCGGCAACAAGCGATTTCTTCGAAGAAGTCACGGAAATTCTCGTGATGTGGTTTGGTTCGGCAAATGACAGCTTGTACCGCATCGTGTTGAATCTTCACGGAGCCTTACCATCTCGTTCGTGTGTGTACGTGGTTGTTCTCCAGTGCTTATATCAACCAATATCTCGGAATACATCTTTCAAGTCCACTAATTTTTTGGTAAGTGCACGGCAACCTGCTTGTTGGCAACAAGTGGCCGCTGTTCTACAGGTGTTCTTCCAGATTATTTATAGAATTAGGCAGTGTCTATTCTCCCGACAGCCGGGACAATAATTTTTTCCGAAATTCTACGGAGAGTCGCCTCCCATTAGCTGCCTGAAAGAATGCAACTCCCGGTAGAATACTGAATTTCTTGTTCTCCCGGGTGTTCATGGAAACACGTTTCATAGACAACTTTTCATGGACACGTTTCATCGACACTAAAATATCACTGACACTCGCTACGCAAATCGCACGCTGCGGGGAAATTTTTTCGCGGAAGTGGATATTCTGCTGTCAGCCCGAGAAAAGAATGCCGGCAGTTGTCCGCCTCTTGGGTCTCGTATAAAACGAATCGTGAAAACGGTTTTTGAAGCTATAAAGTAGCTCGCTGGTAAAGTGTCTCATACACAGCGGGACCCTAATTCAATCCACCAGTGCGGGCTTATTTTTTTTTCTCTCAAACATTCTTTAAGCATTTTACGATATTTACAACATGTTTTTTTTTTGTAGTTTTTTTAATGATTAACATGGGAAAAAAGAAGAATGTTGTGCACGAAACTTTGCTGAATTAAATGGTAAGGGACTGCGCCCTTCCCGGGGGTGAATGGGGGACATAGCCCGGGGAAAACGAATTCCACCAGTTTTGGACGGCGCTTGTATCACATGGACAGCGCGTGTATCTCAGTCTGAGGCTGCTCATTAAAAAAATATAAACCCAATTGCCCCACCTTTACACGCCGCTTCCCAGCGGCCCGCCGGCGGCCCAAGCCTCGCTGTCCTCCATTCACCGCCCCAAAGTGAGTCTCATAAAGTTTCGTTGACAACATTATTTTCTTCAGTGTTAATCGTAAAAAAAAGAAATGCCGTAGGTATATTGCCATATGCCTAAACAAAAGTAATCCGACACCGACGATTAAACCAGGGTCCCGCAGCATAAGAGACAGGCACCTTACCAGGGAGTTACTGTAAAACCCTTTATTTTCGCGGCCCCTATTTTTCGCGAATCGGTCCCAGATGACATAATCGCGACCACTAAATTTCGCGAATTCCGGACGCCTGCATTGAAAATCTTGAAGACCGAAATTTTCGCGCGCCCTTAAATTTCGCAAATTCTTCAATTCGGGAAATTCGCGAACATTGAGGGCTCGCGAACATTAAAGGTTTTACAGTACTCTACAGCTTGAAATAGTTGTTTTCACAATTCGTTTTATACGAGACCCAATAGGAGGCAACTGCCGGCATTTGTTTCCCCGGGCTATTGTGCCGGCGGCAGAATATTCACTTCCTTTTTGTCGCGGGACCGGCCGGCATACCCGTCCACGCAGCTTCGTGGGCGACGTTCTGCGACGGCTCATTACAAGAATGTTAACCCACGCGTCCCCCCTACATGCCATTTGCGGCGACGATTTGGGGTAACTTATTACCAGAAAAAAGAGGAAAAAAAAGCTAATCATATTTTGTAAAACAATCTGCTGATGAAACAGCGTGTCTATAAAACGATCTGTCAATGAAACGTCATTCGATGAACTGATTGCCCCCGCCAATGAGAGGCGTCTGTCAGGAGAATTTTGGGGAAAATATTTTTCCAGCTGCCGGGAGAACAGACAATGTGGCCTAGAATTACACCGTACCTCCTTGCATTTCGCAGATCGCTTGCACGTTTGTACTTCTCTACGCAACATGCTGTGTGTAATAAACTTCTGGGAA